GAGGAACCGTCCTATCGCCGCTTCAGGGTCGGGTGCGAGCCGAGCCCGGAGATGATGAGGGACTTTCCTGCAGTAGAAGAGATGGGTAGGCGACTTTTGGCGCCCGCAGGGGCAATCCAGGGTCGCCTGGCCTGGGTGAAATCTTTCGTGGTAGTCCGCAAAGTCACCGTAGTGTGATCGGGCAGCGAGTAGATATCCCAAAAGACGGCGTGGGAGAGCGAGTTCAGGGAGCTTCCGTAGCTCGACTCCTTGCCACCATTGCTGGTAGTCTACGGCTATCTGACCCTTGACCTGTCTCCTGCGGTAGGAGACTGAGGGAAGGTGCTCTGGGACTGGGAGATTGGCTCCTTGTTTGGCTAGAAGGTCTGCCAGCTCATTTCCGAAGATGCTGCTATGCCCTGGGCACCATTTAACAGATACCTGGTACGGATATTTGTCTCCCAACTTCTGAAAGACTCTGAACTGGGCCTGTGAGGAGTTTGGTGCTGTTGCTCTGATGCAGTCGATGACAGAGGTGTTGTCCATACAGACTGTGATTGGTTCGTTGGTGAAGTTGGCGAGTACAGCGCATTGGAGGCCTTCTAGAGCGCCGTGGATTTCTGCGTCAAAGACTTCTCTGCGGCCAAGTTGGCCAAAACCCCAATCAGCGAGGCGTCCGTTGTGGAATACTGCGAATCCATACCCTGCGGTATCTCTTTCTGTCTTGGAGCCGTCGCTGAAGACGACATAGCCTGCGGGTTTATCCTCAAGCCAGTGCTGGAATTCTACAGCGGTGGTTTCTTTGGGTGGTCTTTTTCCTGCGGCTTCGGTCGGGATGTTATCATTGAAGCGGCGTGCTATAAACCTTGGTCGTTCGACCTCCTTCGCCCATGCCGCTGTTCGGAGGAGTCGGCTATGCCTCTGCAGGGTTTGGATACGTGTTGTTGGGTGGTTGCTCTGATCAAGTTCATGCTGTGCTTGTCTTAGCCTTCTGGATACCGGGTGCGTAGCATCTAGTGTGGCATAACGGAGCGCAGTGCGCGCTTGTTGTTGCTTGAGTATGATGTCTGCTGGCGGTATACCCGCCTCCTTCCAGAGAATGACTTGTGGGGTGGTCTTCCAAACGGGTAGGACTGCGTGGCAGGCCTTGTTTAGGATTACTTGAAGCTTTGAGAGATGGGTTTTGGTAATCGTCCTTGCACCCTTGTGTGTTGACTCGGAGAGGAAGCCGGGAAACCATGTGTCTAGCCCGTAGAAGAGTGTGGGTAAGGCTACGGCATAAATCGCTCTCCTAGCTGCTAGTGCTGATGTTCCGCGGACTGTGTTGTTAACGAACCACAGCTGTGAAATAACCTTTTCGGCCTTGAGTGACCATTTCTCGATGTGCGTGTTGAAAGTGAGCCTGCGGTCGAGCCAGACTCCTAGCCAACGCATTGCCTTCTGTGCCTTAATCTCCTTGCCTTGGTGGGAGACCGGTGGCGAGCTACTGTTCCTTTTCCTAGAGAAGTGCATGACCTCTGTCTTGTCTGGGTCGAAGGAGAAAGCCTCTTGCTGCCCCCATGTTTCCATTGCGGCGATCGCCGTGTTTGCTTTTGTAGTGGTCTCCTCCAGAGTGTCCCCTACAAAGAGCATCGCTGTATCGTCCGCGTAGCCGTATCTTTCCGTTGCTCCTGGAAGAGAGTAAATAGGGGTGGTGGCTAGGAGATAGAGAATCGGCGATATAGGCGAGCCCTGAGGGAGGCCGCAGGGCAGTTCTGCGGGCCCTGTTTTAGCATCCTGGAATCTGACTAGAGCTTTGCGGTGGGAGACGAAGTGGTAGATCCACCAAATCAGGAAAACCGGCCATCCTTGTTGTCGGAGTCGTAGGACTAGCCTATTGGGGAGAATAGCATCAAAGGCCCCTTTGACATCCATTGTGACAAGTGTGGCGATCTTGCCGTTACCTAAGGCACGTTCAACATCGTAAAGAAGTGCGGTGACGATGTCTGTAGCGCTTCTTTTGGGGAGTGCTC